GCCTCTGGTAGAGGACCCGAGCTGAATGAGGGATGGACACCACCCGAGGGGTGAGACGAAGATTTTTTTTATTTTATATATATATATATATATATATATAATTAATGATTTTTTTAATGAATTTGAGTTTATTTGTCAGGGTGCTTTTTATTAGTTTTTTTAAATCTTTTTTTTTTCCTCTCCAATAATCAGCTTCCTGATTATCGTGGCTACGAACAGAGAAGGGCGACTTCACAAAATCACAGTCCTGATCGTTAACTGAGCAATTTTGCTAAGTTTCTCCCATTTTCTCATTGTTTTGTGAAAGACAAAAAAAAAAAAAGGAGCTGCATTCTTGGTCTTTGATGTCGCATAATCTTTTGTGTGCGTGTGTGTGTGTGTGTGTGTGTGTGTGTGTGTGTGTGTGTGTGTGTGTGTGTGTGTGTGTGTGTGTGTGTGTGTGTGTGTTTCTGTGTGTGTATGTGCGCGCCTCTCGAGGAGCCATTGTTTGTTTGTTTGTTTAGATAAGGAAGGAGGAGGAGGTGGGGGGGGGTGCCAAGGGACAGAGACATAGAGGGCCCTCTGACCCCATCCAGACCCAGAGTTCCTGCCTCTGGCTGTGACTGACAGATAGCATCAGTGTATCATGGCTTCTTATCAGCCAGGCCTGCCTGCTCCCTCTGATCTGGAATCAGCCCCCGCAGCCGGAGAGGGTACAGAGAACACGCAAACAATGCATGTGGTAACTAAGACAGCCATCTTGTGTGTGTGTGTGTGTGTGTGTGTGTGTGTGTGTGTGTGTGTGTGTGTGTGTGTGTGTGTGTGTGTGCGTGTGCTTGTGTTATTTCTCTTGGATACCAGGCGGCTCTATGTTGCCTGCAAGTCATTGGGTGTATTTCTTGGAGGGGGTGAGCTCATGCTTCCAACATAAAGACGCATTGAGTGAAGTGGGACCGAGGGCCAAGTCTGGAGGTACACACTCACACACATACACACACATGCGCGCATGGCGAGAAACACACTCAGTCCAGTGTGGAGGGCTCCCGAGGGCCGAGGGGGACTATCGTTTTCCTCGTTAATTATGACCGTCTGGCAGGCTGGAAAGCAGGAAGTCCAAGAGGGAATGATGGAAAGAGAGAGACATGGTAGATAGATGATAGCGAAGGGAGAGAAAAGGGGAGGATGGAGACATCCAAGTCAAGTTTTGGATGGTAAAACCAGGTGCTGTTTTTCCTGTCTTCATCCCGGTTTCGCCCAACATTGGGAACGCAGGTTTTATTGCGACGGCATCCACTTTTTGGGTGTCAAACGCATGTTCAATTGGAGTCAGGACACACCTGCCACCATGTAAAGCGCCCCTGATTAACACTAAATCAAGTTCAGTTGTTCTAGAAGGCTTTCTGGCCGAAGCCTGAAGGTTTTGTGCTATCGCCGATTGGTATTTGGAACTGTTCATAATAGGGCCCGAGCGATAAGGATTAAAAAAAATTATTTTTTATTTGAGAGGCTGATGCCAATTCCCATAAATGGCAGAATACGATCCTGATTACCGATTAATTGGCCGATTAATCCCCCCCAAAAAAATTTTTAAAAAAATTTTCTTTCCAACTGGGAAAAAAAAATTGCCAGTTTTTGCTGACAGCATTATTTTTGTCTTAACATAAAAAACACACACACATGCATTCTGCAAAAAAATATTCCAGTCCAATGTCACTATTTTCACTACTTGGTTTTTGTTGTTTTCCATGATAAATTCTAACGACTTGGAAATACTTTTTTCCACTTCTTCTGACTGATACCTATGAAACATGAGATGCCTCTGACTCTGTGGAAGCTATTTGCTGACCATGCTCTGTGCTGTTAACTTATGTTAAATTATGATTTCTTCTTAAATTATTCCTCCTCTCTGCATTGCCGGGCCAAGCCGCGTTCCCTCCTTTTACGTTGTGATATACAGCATATACCTTTTGACCCTCTCAGCCAAAACCAGCTTGCGGCCGTAACTTCACTTTACTGTCTGGCCTTCTTCTGCCATCCATTCGTCATTTCCCCCACCGCTGACCCCCAACCCTCGCTTGAGACCAAACATCACCCAGTCACTCACTGAGTTTGAATATAAAAATGTGACTTAAAAAAAACAAACCAAAAAAAAAAAAAACTGAAAGTGAAAAAGTGGGCCGAGCAGCTGCGGTGGCGAACGGAGCAGGCCCTGGGATTTAAATGGCTCCAGGTCCAATTACCAGTGTCTGCCGCATCTGGACGTAGTTAGAGAGGCGAAGCGCACGGCGCGCCATTAGGGATATGAATTCACAAGCTTTTCAGACGACGACGCTTGATGATGTGTGGGGCTCAGACATCAGAGGGAGCGAGGCTTGCGGCTCTTTCTGACAAAGCACCACAACGGTTTGTTTTACATAAGAACATACAAACTAGAGCGAACAAATAATTCTCAATAAATCTGACATAACTCATATGTTAGTGGATTTCTTAAACCCTTTAACCACCCGTTCAACCGCTTAAGAAAGCAAATTATCCATTCTGGGCAGTTTCTGTGACCCATTGTCACATGGTGTTCCACAGGGTTCAATTTTGGGGCCCCTGCTGTCTTCATTGTATTTGCTAGCCCTGGTTTCTATTTTAGGAAAGCATGGAATTTCTTTTCACTGCGATGGAGATGACACTCCGATCAACTGTATGTCCTAATCTAATCTCGCGCCACTTTTGTCCTGTCTGCAGGAAATCAAGGCCTGGATGGCACTGATTTTTTTTTAATTTGAATTGTCCCAGTGCCCATAGTACATCCCACCCTGGCGCCTTATCTAAACGGTCTCTCACGTGGGTTTTCAAATTGGACAGAGATTTTAAATTGGACTGGCAACTTCCATCGTTTTTCATCTTTGTTCTCGGAGAATCCAAATGAAGGCGTACTGTTGCACCCTACACAAATGAGATAAAAATTCCATATGTTCTGCAATAAATCTGAAAAAAAAATGAATTCAATCACACTTAAACAATCCCCAAATCCAATGACTCTGAAGTCCCCAAACCTTTCAGCGATCTATTTCTTAAAAAGAAAAAAAAAAGTCACTTCCTGTTTTTAATTATTGACTTCGCAAAGGAATTATAAAACACAAACATTTTTCGTCGTGGTTGTTGAAGTTGTAATGATGTTTATTCGTGAAAGTTATGCATTTCGATCGCTAAGTAAGCACCTTTTTGCTACAGGAAGTGGTACACGTCCTCTTATGCAATAAGAGCAGAATACAGAAAGTGCTGGCTTTACTTTGATTCTTTTAATTCATTTATATTCTAAGTTTACTCATTTGACTGTTGTTATTATTTCTCCTCCGTAATTATTACTTATCCCAGCTACATACATCGGCACAAAAACACACACGCCCCGTAAACTTTCATGCATGTGAAGCCAGTTTGAGTTGAGCCATGTGTCATCGCCTCGGGAACTTCTCATATCCGGAGATTTTATTGTTCTTTTTCATTCCATTATTAAAGCTTATTCGTTGTGTGTGTGTGTGTGTGTGTGTGTGTGTGTGTGTGTGTGTGTGTGTGTGTGTGTGTGTGTGTGTGTGTTTTCATTCCAGTGTGATTGTGCTGCAGAGGCACTCATCCAAACTCAGGTGGGGTCGGACCTCAGGGTGAGTTAGTGTGTGTGTGTGTGTGTGTGTGTGTGTGTGTGTGTGTGTGTGTGTGTGTGTGTGTGTGTGTGTGTGTGTGTGTGTCGATGACTCCGTGTTGTTGTTTTTCTGACCAGTGGGTCTCTAGTGGAGACAACGGGGATGTCATTTTGTTTGGCCGGCGTTCATTTGGACTCTTCGACTCGCTCGCCAACGTTGACGTCCCAAAAATTCATAACCGGAATCCCTCTTGCATCCTTTAAGCTTCTTCCGCAACACAACGGCCGCTGTAGCGCCATGCAATATCCGCTCGGCTTATGGTACACAATATTGTTTCTATATTGCCTATATTGCGATATGAAAAGGATTTTTGTGGTGGCTTATCCCCAAAAAAAAAAAAAAAAAATTTAATTAAGTTATAAGATGAACACAAAAAAATGGACAGATTCCGATGCTCTTGCAAAGTAAACATTTACAGTGGAAGTCATTTTACTGTACTTTTTATGTACTCTGATACAAAAGTGGTAAGAGATTTCTCTGCGACGGTTAGCGAGCTAGCTCTCGGGGTATAATAGCGGTACTCCACAGTCTCCGCTTTGCAGGCGCGTGTGTTTTCAGCTCGTCTCGCCCACTCCCATGACGTCATCGGCCAATTTGACTTGCGGCTTCTTCCATTAATTCATGCCTTGATGACGAAAGCCGCATAAAATGCGCACGTTTGCGGGGAAGAAATACGACGCATCGGCGTGCGCGTACAGACATGTCGTCAACCCGCATAAACCGCGTGTGCTGTTTTCAAGTCGCGCGAAAACACGAGGGAAAAAAAATACAGATGCAATAAAAGCCACAATTTTTTCTATGACTCAGTGATGTAATATAAGCCTCAACCAAAGATTAATGACCGGCAACAAGGAGTTTTTGTTTTCGTGGCATTTTGGTTACAGTGTGGGTGGGAAGAAAACTTTTGGGGGCCATTTTTGTTGAACTCTTTCCGTGTATTTTTTCATTTCAAAATTCGAAATAGATTGTTCACCAAATTTGTGAATTTTTGTCTGAGAGGAGAACATTAAAGTCAGCTGTAAAGTGGACCATTCCAGCAAAGTGGAGACTGTAGAGAATAATAGGCAAAGTACTGTACTACTTATTTGATTCCAAGTTTTTTATGAGAGAGAAAGAAAGTGGAGACTGAAGTGCAGTAATCCCCAGTAGGACTAATTACTTCAAAGAATGGAATCTCCTGTATTTGTGTACTTCTTTGAAAGTAAGCAAAATGTATTGAGCAGAACACTAAGGGCAATGAGAAAGTGGACTGTTGCAGCAAAGTGGAGACTGTGGTGTATAATACCTTTTAACACTAATAATTGGATTCCAGGGTTTGTTAACTTTCTGAGTACTTACAAGGTCCCTTGTATTTTCAGTAACTAGACACAAAACACTAATAATTGGATTCCAGGGTTTGTTAACTTTTCTTCCAACAATTGAGTACTTACAAGGTCCCTTGTATTTTCGGTAAAAAGACACATTTTATCCAAGAGGACACTAAGGGCCAAGTGCAGGAAAGCGGAGACTTTGGAGTGTAACACCACAATCGCATTACTTATCAAGAAGAATGAAGGCCGGCTTCTTTTTACTTCTCGGTAATGAAACAAACCTCATCCTGGATGAGCCTTCGGGTCAAATGCAGGAAAGCGGAGAATGTGGAGTGGAACATTGAACCCTGGCTGACCAGGTAGTTTGGGCGTTTGCCAAAGTTGTTTACATGCACCCTCCAGCAAAAGGAAAGCCCCGCGGCCCTCCCAACCCAAAAGATCCCTTCCCCCCGTCCCGCTCTCACTGGGCAGGATGAATTAGCGTGGGACAAAGAGCTTTGTGGCCCGGCCATGAAAGGCCCATTAAACATGCCGCATCCCCCTGAGGCCCTGCCCTGTG